AATCATGAATGGAAAAAATACATGTTTTTTCTCTTTAGGGATATAATATTGAAATAGATTTACGTGTCATAATCTAGCATTTGATTCTGTAGATGAAAATGGCTCAGTTTTGAAACATTTAATGTTTTGACATTTGTTAAAGATTACCTATTGAATTTCAGAAAATGTCATGAAAAATTTAGTAACTCATTGTGTGATGCTGCTTTAAGACAACCCAACACATTTCCAAGATTCTAATAATGTTCTTTAATATGAGGGTATCAAGACCTTACCAGCAATGGCTGATAGTCAATAAGAATATTTGAATATTACTTTCATTTTATAATTCCAGTGATTTACATTATCAACTGTTTTGTTTTTGTGGATATTAAAACCTTTGTAAAATTAACTCTTAATACACTGACTAACACATATCAGTTTCTGGGCATTTACGTTCATAACTCACCAAAATATCAAATTGAAAATATGTGTGAGGTCTGCATATGTTGTTTATAAGTGTATCCCGTCGTTATTCACACCTGGCATACAAAATTAACAGGTCTGACTCTCTGCTCCCTGTCTCAATACTTCTAAAAATGTTCTTCCTTTCATAGAGTTTTCAAATGAATTTATACTTACAAATGTTTTGGTCTTTGCAATTCTTAATTTAAAAACAGAGTCAGCACAAAACTTGATGCTGTAGAACGTCTGTGGCATAGATTGTTTTGTTTTTTCCAGCTGGGAATCTACTAAATCTTGCATATAGAAATTGATGAAAGCTCTAAATGTTAAACTGCATGTGCTGAAAATCATCCAAAATTAGTCAAATTATGGAAATATTTTATACTAATCTATTTTTTCTGTTTTTAGTAATTATTTTAAGTAAAGGAATGACATTAACAAGAACTGTGTGAAAAGACTGCTGTCATTTGCAGATGTTATATTAAAACCAAATTTCTTCTGTGATTCATTGCCACTTCTAATTAGAGGGATTCCCCTGATGCAGGGGATTTATATTATTCCTTTTGTCCGTTTATTGAATGACTGTCACAGTCACCCACAAAGCGGTTGCAGAAGAATAATAGAGGGTATTTATTTATGTTATAAGCCCCAGTACAGATGGAAAAAATCCATAGATTAAATTTTGATAATTACTACTAGCTCCGTTTAGTTTTTTTCATTTTGATTTTTGTGGTGGAGAAATTAGTTCATGGTTGACTTATTCTGAAAATCAGTATCTATTATAAATTTTTAATATTCTTAAGATTTTTCATTTTTCTTTTAACCATCCATATTCATTTTATTTATGTGTGTTTCCACACATTTTTCCACTTTACAAATGATTTGGGCTTCTCCATGTGTTGTGCTTATTCTAGCATTTACTTGTGATGGTCAGAGGTACTGAGAGTACTGCAAGTTGTCAACCTACATTAGGTGTTCAGTTCTTTAGGGAGAGATTCTAAACCAATGAAAGGTGTTGCAGTTCTAACTCATGTAACAGGGCGAGCCTGTCAGCATCTTGCCCAGATGTATCTATGAGATACTGGTTTTAAGATGGGGTTTTTTGGTTTCTTTTTGCCATTACTGCCCCTTTGCCAAGAAGTTAATTACCTTGGGCCAGATCATTCTTTTTCCTTATAAAACTCACCAAGGGGGACTGTACAGGGGAGGGGAACTCTACGTGAGGTTCCACTTGTAAGATTCAGCATAGATAAATATCTAGCTTGAATATCATAAAGTAATATCTACCAGAAGCACACTGCCGCCTTCAAGTTCATAGATGAACTCTGCAGTTATACATAATATAAAAACTAAGCACATTTTAAATCTTAAAAAGCTTATGAAAATATTTGTTTACATGTTAGATGTGCTGAGGATAGCTATGTAGTGTTTAACCTCTCAGCAAAATGTATCCCTCTTACATGCATTGAATTATATTTAATACTGTCTTGGTTTCTATATTGAAGCTATCACAGTAGTATCTGAATGGTGAGAAAAGGGGTTCAAGTTAGAGTTGGTTGGTTGGGTGATCTTGACTGAATTTTTGGTGTCTATCTAGTGACTGAGAGCTGGGGTTGTTGGTTTATTTTTTGTTTTTGTTTTGTTTTTTTAAGATGTAAATTATTTTAAAGCATCCTTGAAGATACAGCTACATATTTTCAAATAATTCAATTCTCATAGGCTTTTTTAGTAATGTATTTTCCTTACGTTTTTATGAATTAATTTAAAACAGGCCTGGCCTCGAAGAACTAATAATCATCACATCAGACTTTGCAGACCTAATGTTTCTAAGCTTTGCAGAACTTAGAAACTCTACAACAATGGCCATGTGTGTCCATGACCCTTTCCTGATGTGGCTGTCTCTCTCCATTCATCTGCACACTAGACCCCCTTGGGGATCCATGTCTCTCATTTTTCCTCCTCTGTCTTCCTGGACCCCTTGTCCCTACTCCATTCCTGAGCTTAGGAAGCCCACAACCTGTGGGCAATGAGCACCATGTTCCAGACCTGTTAGACCTTGTAAGGACTTCAATGTTTGTGAACATTGCATGCAATAACTAGGGTCCCAATGTACAGTTGAGGGTGCAGGATTGTGGCCTCGATCTGAACCCAGAAATCTACCCTAATCTATTTTTAAATACCAATCCTCATGTAGGTCAACAGAATAAAACACTTTTTATTAGGGCTGTTGATTAATCGCAATTAACTAATGCGATTAACTCAAAAAATTTAATTGCGATTAATCGCACTGTTAAACAATAGAATACAAACGGAAATTTATTAAATATTTTGGATGTTTTTCTACATTTTGAAATATATCAATTTCAATTACAACACAGAATACAAAGTGTACAGTGCTCATTTTATATTATTTTTATTACAAATATTTACACTGTAAAAATGATAAACAAAAGAAATTGTATTTTCAATTAACCTCATATAAGTACTGTAGTGCAATCTCTTTTTCATGAAAGTGCAACTTACAAATGTAGGTTTTTTTGTTACATAACTGCACTCGAAAACAAAACAATGTAAAACTTTAGCGCCTACAAGTCCACTCAGTCCTACTTCTTGTTCATCCAATCGCTAAGAGAAATAAGTTTGTTTATATTTACGGGAGATAATGCTGCCCACTTCTTAATTACAATGTCACCTGAAAGTGAGAACAGGTGTTCGCATGGCACTGTTGTAGCTGGTGTCGCAAGATATTTACATGCCAGATGCGCTAAAGATTCATATACCTCTTCATGCTTCGGCCATCGTTCCAGAGGACATTGTAAACAAGGCAGCATTATCGTCTGCAAATGTAAACAAACTTGTTTGAGCAATTGGCTGAACAAGAAGTAGTACTGATTGGACTTGTAGGCTCTAAAGTTTTATGCTATTTTATTTTTGAATGTGTGGGGGGGGGATTTGTACATAATTCTACATTTGTAAGTTCAATTTTCATGATAAAGAGATTGCACAACAGTATTTGTATTAGGTGAATTGAAAAATACTATTTCTTTTGTTTTTTACAGTGCAAGTATTTGTAATAAAAAATAAAGTGAGCACTGTACACTTTGTATTCTGTGTTGTAATTGCAGTCAATATATTTGACAATGTAGAAAACATCCAAAAATATTTAAATAAATGGTATTCTATTATTGTTTAACAGCGCAATTAATCGCACAATTAATCGTGGTTAATTTTTTTAATCGCTTGACAGCCCTACTTTTTATACTTAGCTTAATCCAATCTTCCACTTAAGTTTACTTACCAGCTATACCAGATTCTTGACCTCTTTGGGGAGTTTCTCTTCTCTTGCATCCCTTGGAGACTTCAGTTTTACTCGTTACCTTTTTCGTTAAACTATACTTTGGGTGCTAGACAGGAAGCAGGTCCTTAGTTTCAATTCCAAACTCATGACTACACCCCAGTGCTATGGTTTATGAGAATATACCTAAAGATTCACTTTATTCAGAATGGGTTATGGCGGTCAGTATCCAAATGGATGTTTAAATTAGGGGGGAGGGCTGGTCCCCTTTGGACAAACATGCACTGGCTGCATCTCAAGGTCTGGGGCATAAGAGGGTAAAGCAGTCCCCATGGCCCATGCTAGACAAATCACCACCTAACAGATTTGCAATACAGTATCTAAGTTATTTCCACATTGTATCTTAATGCTACTTGTATATATAAATGCAAATACTGATAGTTGCCATCACATTTTTCTGTTCTTAACTTGAATCTGTGCTGCAGTTTAAGCTATAGCTTTGTGCTCAAGCAAAAATTATAATCTGAGGAGGAAAATCCATGACAAAAAACCCTGCTTTGCAGTACTTACCAAAACTAAACTCTACTGGGTATGAATTTTCGTCCATGTTCATTGACCTACCTTTCTTCTGATCTTAGCCCAAGTGATGGGATAAAGGAGAGACTACATCCCTAACACATATGCAGTAGGATATTCTATTCTAACAATCAATTTTTTTATGTCTGCAGTCAGACTGTGAAAAACTATTTTAGTATCTTCCTGGTCTCCAAGAGAGATGGGAACTGAGGTATCTGTGAAGAATATCCAAAACTTTAGGTATACAAATATACAGCTGAGAGCACAATGCCAGATCTGAACAAATGTATGTTTTCTTGAAAACAAAATATTGTCATGTATGTCTTACTAGAAGATTATTTGGTACATATAATAACATGCTTATTTTGTTTCTGTCGTAAATAGTGGAAGAGGCTCATTATAAAGAGATAATGGGTCAGATATTTTTCATTTTTGTAATCTTCCCTTCCAAAACCTCATTGATCCCTATTTGTGTATTGCAGGATTTAATATAATATCCTCGGAATAGATTTTCAAAGGCACAAAGGGAAGTTAGGTGCCCTACTCCTTTGGAAAGTCAATGGGGACTGAGTACCTAGTTTCCATTTGTGCCTTTGAAAATCTCCCTCCACCCCCAGTGATACCATCAAATTAAGACTGGAGAATGCTCTATCTGAAAATGCTATCACTTTTATTTTTTGGTTCGCAGGTCCCATTTTTTGGTCCTCTCTTTGATGGAGCAATAGTGACTGCAAAACTGCTGCCAAGCCTTATATGTGCCACATGCATTAATGCCAGCAGAGCTGTGAAATCTCTCATACCCCTCTACCAGAGCTTGTATCCTTTCCTTCTGTGCATTTTATGCAATTTAAATGTAGGAATCATAAGTACAAATATTCTCCTGATAGAGGTAAGTGCGAATGAGATCTTTTCAGTTGGACTTTATGCTAAGAACTGTGCATCAGGAAAATGTCAAAGCTTTCTTCATATCAAGCAGCATGTTTTTAGACTCATTCTTGCTGGGCTTTAATCTGATATGGTATGCTTTAAAAATAAAGGATAACAATACAAGCATTTTTGGACTTTCCTGTTAATTGCAAAGTCAACAGGTATACTGTTAGATATAATGGTGCTTTAAACTTCAAGAGGGAATAATTTACAAATTTCTGTAGCACGAGAAAATAATTGTTTATATTAGCTTAATATTTACAAAAGGAGCCCAGTTCTACTCCCTTATGTAATAATGCAAGTAATTCCTCAGTCTTCTTTGGAAATCTTCACATCAATAAGATAGGTAACATATAGCCAATGGTATTGATATTTATCAGTCTTTATGTCCATTTTTCATTTTACCCACATTGCGTCTTAGAGTTTTGAGAACACATTCTTCCAGCAGTAGTTATGGGTAACTGGAAGGCATGCTTCAGTATTGTAGAATTGTGTAGTGTGAATTATTATTCTTGTGTGGTATGCAGGCTAATCGCATAAAATCACTTGTTACTTGACATTCTGGTTTTCTTTTCTCTTAATGCCACTAATGTTATAAAATTACTCTAGGGTGCTTCATTAACCACATTGCTAACAGTCCCATATGTTTCTATGGATCAGCACTCATCTTATTTCAGTTTATTTTGAAGGCTTTTAATTTGGGGGCTTTTGAATTATGTAATGAGGAGTGCCTCGCTTGATTTTCCTGAGATGAAACAACTGGAATACTCAATCTTTATGATGAAGGAAAGATGGCTTTGTTAGAGTTTATCAGAGGCATTTACATTTTAGGTTCAATTTTTCTAGTTACTATGGCTATGTAAGAAATGGTAATTTTTGTAGAAGAGCTGAACTTGATTCATTGTGTTTGTGGAAAGCTTCAGAAATGAAGATTTGCATAAGAATTAAAGAAACTAAATAACATTTTATTACCTTTTGTTTTTCCTCTTCAGTTTAAACCAGGTGAAGTTGTTTGGAGTTGCACAGGCAGGCCCACACAATACCTTAGTTATAAGATTATGTCAGTACTTAAAAGCAGACTCAAAACTCGCTAGCTTTTTCACTTTTGTGTCATGAGTGGGTAATTCAACTAAGTACTACTGTCAAAGTAGTTCCTTCTATCTGTAACCTTGACTGTATGAGCAGATGTGTTAAGCTGTGTCTGACAATAAAACAATCAGTCTAGTATTGCTGGTAACCTGAACACAGTAACAGAGATTATAAGAGTGAAAAACATGCCATTATCTCTAAGGGAAAAAACGATTTTTGACACAGTAGGAAAACAGAAGATATGATTTGATGTAATGTTCATCCTTGCCCTTTGTCCCTCCTAGATTTTCTTATAATAACTTTCTCAGCAGGCTAAGTAGAATCTGTCAAGTTTAGCCTTTATCTAGTGGTCACTGCTCTTTCTCAGTGGTGAGGGCTAGCTCAAATGCCATCTGTTTATTTTTTTCCCTAGTGGGCAATCAGTGGACGTATTTCAATGTCTAGAGTGCTGAAAACTGGAAGTTTGCCACTTGCTATGGTTACAATTCCCAAGTTAACCAATGATTTTAAAATCAAATCATGGTCATTGGGTATCAGGCCCAAAACCTATTTCTCTAAAGCTGAGCTCCTTCACCTAAAAACAATGATACATAGCAAGTATAAGTACTGTAGCATTTTCTAACTTCAGCGCACTGTATACATGTTAAAACACATATCTTAACAGTTTATGCTTGTGTGTCAGAGTCTGTGGCATAGGTAGTGAGATAGATATATATAGATATAGATATATATAGATATGTATATGTGTGTGTGTGCATGCGCACACACACAGGCTTGGATTAGTTTTAAAGAAAGAGCTCAGGTCTGATACAGTTACCTTATGAGAACCACTTGACTAATCCCTAGCACTCTAGTGTGTGTGTCTGTGTGTATATCTATCTATAATGTATATGTATGTCTCTAACTCTGTGTGTGTGTGTGTGTGTGTGTGTGTGTGTGTGTGTGTGTGTGTGT